GCGCACGAATATTTATCCGTGAGAAAGATCTGTTCGAACCGGCGAAATAAAGAGGATTTTTTCATGTGATTGTGACAATGGATAGAGTATAGTATTATCATTACATTCCAGAGCCAGATCGGCGGTAGTTAGCGAGGTAGACAGGACCGGCGAACACCGTCCAAAGCCATCGGTAAGATGAAAGTCGACTGAAAAGTTTACGGCATTCGTATTTTTTGATCCGCGTCATATAATGTTGACCGGCTATCTTGAAAGTGCACAAAGGATCAATGACGAGATTGCACGGAGTTTTATTGAATGATGCGTTATATCTATATATTATGAATATATGTATAAAAGACTTTTTGCTCTCCTATCTCAAGTAAATATAGAAACAAAATGCGGGAGACTATGTGCATACTCCGCCAAATTCTCGCTGTTCATAAAGAGTCGACAATTTGTTGCTGCAAAGAAATTTCATTTAGTTCAATTAAAGTTGAGCAAACAAAAAAAAAAAAAAAAAAAAAAAACCGCTTTATTTAAAAGAGTCTTTAATTTTAACTTTTCTATCTCATAGATGAAAATCTATCAATATTTTGCATTATCATCATCATCGTCGTCATTATTACTATTTTGCATTTTGATGTGTTTCAGAGCTAAGAGAAATTTAAAACAAATTTTGTTTTAGCGAAAATCAAACAAACCGAAAGCAATAACAATTGCAATGTCCAAGCACATGTGTAAGTGGATGATTAGGATAAGCAAAAGCGAGCAGAATATATCGCGACAGCTAAGCCAACGTACATATGTAAAAATTAATTGCACTAAAATCAACAAATTCAACAACTGGCCATAAGCTGTCATAATACCATACCATACCAAACGCTATGGCGTTTTATGTAAATACATGTATACATACTCTACTCACAAATACGCGTACGCGAATATATATATGTACATATGAGTTGCACATAAACCAACATTTTTGTAAACATTATATAATTTTTGTTGGAACGTTTTCAGTGAGAACCTTAAACTTGTATATACACGGTGCTAGATATATAGCGTATGCATGCATACATGTGTATAGAAAAATTTTATATTTTTCACTTCACATGGTAACAAAAGCATAATAAAAACTGAGAATAAACTATGGCCACAAAATTTCTGGGCGAGTTTAACATACGGACCGATATCAAAGCAAATAAAAAAAAAAAAAAAAAAAAAACATATACTACTGAAATTCGAAATGAAAGTTACATACAAACATAGCGGGCATGTACACATAACGCTGTCACAAGCGTACAAAAATAGTTTAATGTTAACTACAGTTTTTCATGCTGACAGTGGTAGCGCAAAAACGCAAAACCCAAAAAATCATGTGTCCACGCCTAAGCGCTACACGTTTTAATGTTGCTGCTTAAATTTTCCTTTTTATGCCTTTTAATATGAATACGCATGAATTACCAAAGAATGGTTATTGTGACCGGCCAGTATGTGCGGATGAATTTATAATAGCTGCTTGGGTTAATTGCTGTTAGGAACATATCACAATTACTAGAAATAGGTTTATTAACAACTTTTAAAGTCACTTCACCATTGACTATTACTATATGACAGTGATAGTGACTCATTCGTTACCTGAAACAACGGACGTATTCGGAAGCGCATTTATCGATTCAATAAGTACAAGTCAGTGCTTGGCTATTGCATCTCATTCTTGTAAAACTGTTCCGTAGAAGTATGGAGTGTTTTGATATCTCCTTAATGACAGTTTGGAAATGTAAAATCCAAGTTTTCTTTTCGATGAATGACAATTTTTTCACATTAAACATAGCAAGACGTTGACATTGGTTGTTTTCACTGAAGGGAAGCAAATAATCACATTTTTATACCGTGCAACCCTTGTGGTGTGGATATGTGCAGTACCCAGAAGGACTTGAGTTAGCCTCCCGTTCCGCTTCCCGCTCTTATTTCAACAATTTAAACTTGTCTGCCCTTCGGTCTGTCTGTCCGTCTTATCTTTATACCGCAAAAAAATGGGGGAAATATTTAAGAAATTTGGTAAACTGATAATTTTCGACCCAAGTGCTATTGAAAATTGTTCGGATCTGACTCCCTTTTCAACCACTTCTATGGCGGGATGGGCCGTGGTCTACTATAGTGTTTTAACTTATTTAACATATTGTCCAAATCACTTTTTCAATGAAAATACCTCTAAACACAGGATATTAATCTTTTTTTAATGCTACACAAGCGTCTAATTTAACAGCAAAGTAAATCTTTATGTGTATTTGGTATTCTTAAAGTTTAATTTGCTTATAATTATAAATAAAGATTTATAGGTGAAGAAACATGCCTAGCATAGCAGGAAGCAGAGGAGAGCTAATAGCATAAGCGAAGAGTAAAACGATTGAAGAGACTTGGTAGAGAATAGAATTAAATGACAGTCGACGGGTAAAATTGAAAGATCATTCGTCCAGTGGAGATTGGCGGATAAATTCTGAAGACGGACAGTCGTCAGCAGAGTCAAGTTGTAAAATGGTACAGTCGTCAAGGCCTTTGCTTACTTTTTTTATTACTCTTATTTTTCTATATGTAATTACGTGTGACTTTGAGTTACTTTTTAATAAACATTCGTATAATATCTTAAACAGGAATAAAGCGATATCGAAATCCTTTACAGATACATACAAAAGAACTGCTGAAATTAAACATACCCGAGTCCTGACGTGAAAACGTTGAATAGAAACTTTAAAAACACTTTCAAGGTAAATAATTTGTAACACAAAATGACAATGTCCGAAAATATGTTTTATATATTATAAAGATTTTAGGATTACCTTAACTATGGTTATTTTGAGATTCAAGAAAGCTGACGGTGTCCTAAGGTGTAGCATGAGCTAACATTTTAACATTTTGACAGAACATATTTAAAAATTAATAGTTATTTTGTCCGGAAATATTGTATACAAATGCCAATGAGGCATTTCATTAAGAGAAAGGAAGCACCTTACCAACTGTAATTTTAGATAACTCGTTTTTTCATTTTCCTATTGAACACATCGCTTTTTGCATTTATAAAATTGTTTGTTAACATTTTTTTTTTTTTTTCTTTTTTTTTTTGTTAATTTTTATACGGATTTAATTTTGAATTGCTTAATCAAATTTGCACTACGATTTTTTTTCATAAATTTGCTCAAGTATTATCGTTAATACTTATTATTAATAGGCATTTGTTTTGCATGCATACAGTTAGAAGTCAATCAAGCGCTGCATAAAGTGTAGTTAGAGTTAATAAGAACTATTTAGTATGCTGCAATTAACATTAACGATATAAGCTAGCGATTTCAATGCAAGGAAATGCGATATAACCCCAATTATATTAATATTTTGTTTGCTCATTTTATGGCTAAGCTTGGAAGCAGCAAAGAAGGCAAAACTGTAATTAAGAATGAACTGCTTATAACAGCGGTACTATTCAAGTACTATTGTAGCTATTGTAAGTGCAAGTCTCTTATTCGTTTGTCTTTTCGTTTTTCGCAAAGAATCAAAGCATTTTCATCTTTTATTATTATTTTTTTTTTTTTGTATTGATATTTCTGCCCAAAAAATGTTGTAATTAAAAAAGTCTTTTTCCCGTATCCGTTTGTGCTGGGTTTCTTTCCATTCCTTCTTCTTCCTTTTCTTCTTTTTTTTATGCAAGTAGTTCACGTGTTAGTTTAATTAAATTACTTTTTCCACACTTTACACTTTTCGGTTGTTATTTAACGAACACATATAATCAAATGTTAGTAGCAGTGCAACGACCGAAACATATTTGACGTGATGTTTACATGAATTTTAATTTACGCATTTACATTTTCTACTATATTACTTTACTTCTAATTTTAGTTTTTCGCCTCCGAATCATCTTCGGAAAGGAAAAAAACAGTTAAAAAGAACTGGAAATAATTGAATGTACATTTAATTAAAACTTTATTTTGTTTGACGGGCCCAGGAAATAAAACAAGTAAGAAAGTCATATTCGGCGGGCGCCGAATCTCGCATACCCACCGCATCATAAACGCTTGGCCCACTTAAGATTTTAATGCCGAAGAACTCGGCTTTTCCTAAACCCGGCCCCAAGACTTTATGTATTAAAAGTTCACCACAGTTAAATTGTAATTAACACAGTTTATCGCATTCTGCAATCCATTACCTTTCATTTTATACCTATATCGAAGGTATTTTTAAGATAACACTCATCCACTAAGTCAAGAGATCTACTACAATTAATTTAGAATTAACACATTTGGCAGACTACTCGCATTCTACTCTCCAAGTCCTTTTATTGGAGATCCATATCGCTGGTATTAGTAAGAAAAATTGAAACCAACACGTCGCGGTGTCTACCATATCCATTTCGGAATTGGCTCGTTTTTAGGCAGATAATATATCTCCATTTGAGGAATGTACAAAATAGTTTAAAGAATGCTGTCTGCTTTGCCTTATGATAAATGGACATAAAAACCGCAAAAAAGTGAAAAATAATCTGAGTAACGAGCAAAAGCCCACACACTTTTGTTAAGAGAAAGCGAGTTATGTTCAGTTTACGCTCCATTCACGGACTTCTGCTCCGACCAATTTGGCCCATTGTCAATACCAATCTGCATGCAGAAACTTCCAATGTGTCTATCAAATTTGAAGTTGATATTTTCATATCTGCAACGAGGAGGGCGCCAGCAGCCAACGCCACGTAGACATGGCCTAACCAATTCAGAATTGAACGCTGATCAAGAATATAAATACTTTATAGGGTTTCTGAGGCTTTCTTTTCGGTGTTACATACATTATGAAAAAAAAAATGAAAAAAAAACAAAATGATTCTACCCGCGTCGCTCAGTGGTGGATTTTATATCCAGAGCAAATATATTCTTTTTTTTGTATTTCTTTAATTAACAATCACGAATGGAGGCATTAGAATAAACAGAATAAAGAGAAGAAGAAAAAAAGACGAAATGAATTAAATTAAAACTTACCGTCGGGCAATTCATATAATTTTTTTGGCAATTGTGCAAAATAGTTATGATGTAACGCCTCTTCGGCACCTATTCTTTTATCAGGATTTAATTGCAGGAAAGCGTTTGCTATCGCTTCACCCTCAACAATATCATACAGTCTAGGAAAATTGTGACCCAATTTGCGAGGACGATAGACACCTTGAAAAAAGAGAAAATAAATAAATAAATAAGTAAATGGAAAGAAGGACCGACAAAAGTCAAGAAATCATTATAAATTTCCAATTATAAGAGAATTTATTTATGAAAACATTAAATAATACCTAATTTATGAGGTTTATAACCAGGATAATGGGTGCACCCGGGCCACGTTTCTTCGGTGGGTGTACCCAATAGCTTAAAAATTTTATCCAATTGATCGTATGTATCGCGTATACCGGGGAATGTTGGCATACCAGTTACCATTTCAACAAATATACAACCCACGCCCCACATATCCAGCGATGTTGAATATTCGGTGCTACCAAGCAGGACATCTAATAAAAAAAAAAAAGACAAGAAAATTTAGAACAAATAGACACAATGATGACTCTATGAAAATTAATTTGATCCTTTTTTTTTTTCTAAACTGTGAAAAATTGTACAAAATTTATCAGACTGATGCACTCCGTCAGTACATCATAAGCTGGTAATAGTTAAGCTTTAGAAAAGATATTTCAACGCAACAAAAGCACGTAGCGCAACTCAAAAATATATATTGCTTTGGGAAAAGATGCTGTTTGCATATAGAAATCATAATTAGATTATTGTCGAGTTTGGAAAATCGAACCTCAATTCATACTGATCAGGGCATTCTTTTCAATCTGACCCGAAAAGTATATTAAATTTATTAAATATTTGCAACGCATAAAAATATGTTACAATTAATCTCATAAAGAATATACATCTCCTTGATAGGAGATAGAGAGAAAAAGAGAGAGAGAGAGAGAGAGAGAGAGAGAGAAAGAGAGAGAGAAAGAGAGAGAGAAGGAGAGAGAGAGAGAGCTGATCAAATGCATCTAACGATTAAATCCATCTTTATATCCGTATCTGATGTAACATATTTTCTATGGTTTCATGAAAAGTTTCGCGAAAAAATTGAATTCACATTAGTTTCAATATTTGCAGCTAACTACTACCGAAAGCTAAACTTGTTGCATCAGCCGTAATAGTCTCTAGAGTGGGGCTTATTAGGAAGAAGCAGAAGTGTCTGCACAAGTGGTTGCATACTTTCTAAGTGTAGAACTTTTACTCTTGGGGAATGTGTTCACAAAAGAGTTTTTTGACAAAAATATTTTGAAAAAAATGGATCAACTCTAGTTTGGACCAAAAATATGTTTGCAAGTGGTATAAGCTCTTCAAAGAAGCCCCAGAAAATGTTAATAACGATGACCGCCACGAACGGCCCAGCAAGTCAACAATCGATGAAAACGGTGCAGCAGCCAAGAAAATTGTTATAGAGAATTGTCGAATCACTATAAGAGAGGTGACTGAGATTGTCGGCACATCGGTTGGGTCATGTCATGCAATTTTTTGAGGTTTTTAGGGCATGAGACGTTTCCAAATTGCTAAATTTTAACATTGTTTGCTCGCAACTTTTTTAGCCTGTTCCCAAAACAGACGAGACCCATGAAGTTCCACTAAAGAGCTCGAGGCCATACCAAAAAGCACAAATCAAAAGTGTTACGAAGATTGTAAAAAGCGCCGGCAGAAGGATGATTGCTTTGAAGAGGACAATATAAATATTTTTCAAGAGAAATAAAAAAGTGACTTTTTTTTTTTAAAAGCACCTCGTATATACAAAGCATGTCGATATTTCTGCTATTATAACTCAAATCCGGGATGTTGTCCAAGTCCAAGATAATGGAAAAAAAAGTAAGAAAAAGTGCGACGTAGATGCGTTGATTCGATCGCGTCACGTCGGTCACTTAACTACTCCTACTCCTTTTGTTTATCTTGGTTTTTCTGTAAAATTCATTTGTTCGTTTTCTTTTAACTGTTGAAGCAGTGAGCGAACTTTAATTTACAATCCGCAGCAGAGTGAAAATTGAGGCAAACATTTCGAAATTTACCTTCAGTAGGAGAGTGAATGTGATCTGCTCTCCATAAGCAAAAAAAAGCTTTAACTTTGGTTACGACATAAGAGATATTCAACTGAAACTGAACACTGACACGGTTGCCTCGTATGTGCATTCGGGAAAACCGGTGTAAATGAAGGTCTGATCGATCAACCACTAACACGGCGATAAATTAACAAAGTGCAAGCGCAAGTTTTGTGATGTGATGAGTATCAAAGCAATTATACATAACTCTTTCAATTGTCATTGTTGTTGTTAGTTATCTATTTGACGCCGAAGTGTACAGAATTTGTCCAAAGACGAATTATTAAATATTTTGTTTCACTGCCACTGCAGCATTACTTATGAATGCAAATCTCGGACATCACAGCACATATATAATCAAATTCTATTTAATCCTATATAGTGATTTGGAAGTATGTTAACAAACTTATGGATGGAAAATACAAAAAAAAAACAAAAAAAAAAAATTAAAAAAAAGGGACAAAAAAAACTCTCACTTAGCAAAGTTCTCACAGACAGTCTGGCATGACTACTACTAAGCGGCTTAGAAATTTATGCCAACCATGAGCATGGTTAGTTTATAGAGGATTCCCAGGTGTGTCTTTATATGGTAGAAATATTAAAATGTTTGATGAAATGAAAGTAACCCGTAGACCAAGAGTACAAAATTGTTCAATAAATTATTTAATTCAATTGGATAATAAAAACTGTAGTACAACACAAAGGAACATTCTCTCTATACAGTTGGTTATTATGCAATAATCTGCAAATCTGATTACAGTTTTCTTTTTTTTCTTCCTTTCTTTTCTGGCCTTTTTTTTGTGGGGTTTTTTTCTAAAGAAAATTAAAAAAAGAAAAAAAGCAGCAAAACATTCTTTAACAAAAGGCAATTTTCTAGCTGCATGATTACGTACATATGAAACGAATTTTTTTAAGCAAGAGAAGAGAAAGAGAGAGAGAGAGAGAGAGAGAGAGAGAGAGAGCGGAAAAGCCAAGCCATATTGTATGCACATATAACACATGCATGCATACATACATTTATATATATATATATATATATATATATTTCATTTTCTATAATTTATTTTATAAATAAGTAAATAAAATTGATTGAAAATCTTTAACAAGGAACGTCGTTGCTTTTGTTATAATCGTTATACGAATAAACATGGATTTTCACTATCAATTCCTATAAAGTGTAAACATTGAAAAAAGTGGGCAAGAGGAAGAATGAAGGAAGCAGAGAAAAAGAAAGAGATAGAGAGATAGAGAGCAGCAAACCAAGTAGATAGAGTATAATCGGAATAAAACGGAAACGGATGCTATTGCAAACTAGGCAACAGATGCTCCGATATTGAATTGGCAGCAGTAATATTATGCAATGAACAGAGTAATAAAAAAGACGAGCGAGCTTAGCTTTTGGGCTGTCTTTTACAGCAAAATAATTAAATTGCATGAAAGAAAATTGGCAGAATAAATAAAAAGCTTCTGTGTCTACAGGCAAATTTTTAAGCAATATTGAAACGAATTAATCGAAAACTTCAACAACACCAACAACAATAATAATAGCAAAGTGAAAGAAAAAAACAATTTCTTTCTCTTTTCCTATCTATCTCTATCTCTCTCTCTCTCTCTCTCACTCTCTCTATCGGTTTTTATGCAAATTTTTATTGCAATAAATATTCAGATAAACACAATGAAAATTAAAGTAAGACTATTAAGAAATAAAAAAAATAAAAAAAATAAAAAGAAAAAAATTAATAAATAAATAAAATTGTAATAACTGCCTCACTTAAGCCATTTTAACGAAGGCTCCATTTACCAAGCAGGTCCATGCACGCTTGATATTTAATTCAATTAGTAATGCTTTCTGTTTTGCTTGCTACATTCATTTCTTCTTCTCCTTTTCATACTTTTTTGTTTTCTGTTTTTTTTTTTTTTTTTTTAACAACGCGATAAACATAAGGAAAAAATAAGCAAATAAGGAAAATGCACCAATCTCCGTAAGGCAAAAGTTCGATAAGCACCCCACCACCTGACATGAACATTTAACCTCGAGAAAGTTTGTTTGTTTTTATTTTTCTTTTCGTTTTTTTTTTTTTTCTTTTTTAAAGAGTGAGAGGGGTAGAACCGATTATTTTTAACTACATCCGGTAAATATTTGTAATGTTCCATACCTATTTTATACATTGTTACTTAGTGCAAATAATGTTAAAAAACGGAAAATATGACTTTTCTTGTTCTCTTTTAAATTTTTTCACTATTAAACCCAACTATCATGCAGGAATCATGTCTGTTGTCACATTTAATCCTTGCCAGGCTTTAGCTTTAACTTTAGCTCTTCGAAATATTGTTGCTTTCACTATTCGAATAGCAGAGGGCGACACACTTGCAATGTCCTTAGCTTAGTGTCGTCAGCAGTGAATGTTACAATTGAAAATACTCAGCAAATTTCTTCAAATCTAATGGAATGACTGTTTGAGAGGTCAAGTCAAATTGAAACAAAATATTGAAAATCCCACTCCCGAAGCACACTTTCGTGTGCACATCATTCTCCCCGGTATAATGGCATTTGCTAACAATTTTCGTACTTTTAAGAAACAAAACAGAGCGAAGGAAATTTGCGTCGGAAATGCAAACGTCGATGGATACTTTTTTTCTTAAACCTCTGCACAAATTTCAATGCACTCTTATACTTGTGCAAAACTTTTCAGGCTAGCAAGGCCCCCGTCAAAAGGGATTGACTTTCGCCCTGGGGAAATGATTGCCGATGGTTGTAGGCAGCCCGTGTCCATCAAGGCATCAAACCCCTATAAGGAAGCTGTACAAAACTCTACATGATTGGTAAAGAACCTCGAGCACCATCAGGTGAAATTCTCCTAGAAGTTTAAACGCGATCATAATTCGTTCAACCGAAGGACTTGCCTTGATGGATGTTTTGATTGGCATTTCCCGAAGGAAATTTTATAAGGGAAGAGATCAGAAATCATTTATTTAATGCTTCACCAATTGAATCGAAATTTGGATCGGCAGTTGCGCATTATGCAGCAATTGGACATTATCTGAACACTGGTCCTTTTGTCAATTGTTTCGCAACGGTAAACAAGTTAACTGTTTTCCTGGCACTCGCATTAGTCAGTGAAAATATTTCGAGATGTACATGGAACCTCGTAAGATATATTGCTTTGTAGGCAAACAGTGCAATTTCTCCGCGCGATGATGTTGATATCTATATCTCGGGCAGCAATCACATGATTGTCTCAAACGAGTACCTGCTTGAAAGGTGATCTTTCAGCTCACATTTTTTGTGCAGGCAGTTTTCAAATCCTTTGCTCGTCTCAAAAATTGTTTTGACTTGCAAGTGAGTGAAATATCTGAAGAAATACGCCATGTGATGCTTTTTTACTATATAAAAAATTTAAAAACTCTGCAAAAACATGGCGAAAAATATGTAAAGTATACGATGACAATGCTGTGAGTAAATGAATGATCCAGAAGTGTTTTGCTCGATTCAAATATGCAACTCACTCTCACACTCGCCCAGTCACTGAAAAAGTTAATGAAATTTTGCATCTGGTGGAGCGAGTCCCGCATTCAAGCTGTCGGGGAATAGCGGGGGCGCTAAGCATCAGAAAAGAGCAGGCTACACACAAAAAAGGAAGTTCGAAACCGCGAAAAAAAAACCGCGGAGAGTTTTTCAAGTAATAACCCATTATATGCACTTGAATGGCTTTGCTGGTGCGTGTGGCGGGATGTTACAGTTGGAACAATAGAATTAGTAGACCAATCATTGTTTTTCTTTTTTTGGGTGATGGGAAAAAAGGGCAGAAAAAAGTTACCAGACATTTTGGATTTTTTCTTTTAATCATCTTACTATGGAACAAACCAAATGAAAACTATTTATTCAGCAATCTTTGACAAACCATAAGAACAAAATAAAAATTCAAATAAAAGTTTTTCCTGCTAAAAACAATCCCGACGAAGAAGAAAGAAAATGAACAATAAGAAGATAAACACAAACAAGTTGTTCGTCGAACAATGGCAAACAAAGAATTTGCTTACTAATTACGACATAGAAGGCATAAAGAAAACTTTTAATTTTTTTTTCGTTTTTACTGTTTGTTAGCATTGCTTGGCATAATAATAAGTGACAGTTGAAAATTCATTCATTCACAATAAAATATATACGTGACGTGACGATTAGGCGAAGAATGAAACATTAAATTTGATTTGATTACCTGGTGGACGGTACCAAAGTGTAACCACTTCGTGTGAATACGTATGACTGGGTACACTTTTTGCTCTCGCTAAACCGAAATCGGCCAATTTCAGTTCACCGCAATCACTAATTAATAAATTTTGAGGTTTAACATCACGATGCAAAACACGACGTTTATGGCAGTAGGAAAGACCTCGCAACAATTGAAATAGAAATAAACGTACATTGCGATGATCGAGGCCGCCTGGATGCTTTTCCATATACTGTGATAGATCGGTATTCTAAACGGAATAAATAATTCGTATCATTATTTATAAGAAAGTGCAATGCCCCATTAATTAAATGTCTGTCTGACTTACCACATATTCAAATACAAATGTTAACGTTTCCCTGGTATGTACAATATCGTGCAACGTTACAATATTTGAGTGTTTCAGTTCTTTTAATAGGGAGGCTTCACGTATCGCCGTAAACGGGGCACCTTCTTCCTCTTGCAGTCTAATTTCTTTTAATGCCACACGCTGATAAGTTAATCTGTAAACAATAAGAGAAAAACATTATGCGGAAGAAGCAGGCTTTGGTTGTTTTCTTTTTTTTTTCTTTTTTGCTTTACTTTTCTTTCTTTGAAATCTTGTTTACAATGTGATAAACTTACTGATAAGTATTATAATAGATTTTCTCAAGTGCATTGAGCTAATCTTCTTCTGACTTGGGATCAAACAAAAAGAAAAAAAGAAAAAATTACACAATTACATAATACGAAGTTAAACGATCGGTTACGCTTCTTTTTAAAATTTATAGCGTGCAGCAGAGAGCCAATGGGGAAGCCGAAGCAATCTTCATCAAGTTCTTTATTCATTTATTTTGTACTTGTACTGTCTTTACTTTCCAGTTTGGTAGCTTTATCTCAGCCAAAGCAGCGTAATGCCAATGCTTTCTTGGTTGGAATGATTAAACTCGGATGAAAGTGTTCATCGCTATGAAATACGGATATGAGGATAATTCGAATGGAAATTGTGGAAAGTGTCCTTTATTTGCTGTCGGATAATCGAAAGCATACTCTTGAGCGTAGAAAGAAACTAAGTTTTTCACACGCGGTGTGCTCTGTCTTATAGGAAATGAAAGCTAAAATAAGGAAAGCACTCATCGATCCATTTCCCTTTCACGATCTTCGATCTAAAAAACGCGTCTCGATCGTCTATCGGATGAACGCTTTTTAATCGATGTTGATTAGCTTTTGACGAATGCGAATTTGCAATACTCTTAATCAATGTCGTACTCGCTAAGCCAAAAGGTGAATAAAATTTCACGCACAGCTCAGATGATCGCCCGACGAACCATTATAAAGAAAGTGGCTGCCATATGCAATAAAAATCGTAATATTGAGTGAGAGACTTGAGTTAATATCTAATTGATTTCGAATTATTTTCGGAATTGTTCGAAGTATGTCTGTCCATCTGTCCGATGTTGCAATTATCAGATTTTTTTCGATGAAATATGTTACGTTAACTTATTTACACTCAAAAACCTATTGAACCAAGTGAAAATGGGCGGAACCGTATCGCTTTATATTAGCTCCTCATTCAAAGCCATATTATGAAAGGCCTGCCATAGAGAAAAGAAAAAAATTGCCACACGTACACACGTAAATGAATGTAGAAAATTTGGACGAGAAGAGAACATGTATGCTATGTCACGCCTCCCCTGACATGTGCCTTTATATGGACATATAAACGTAATTTTTAGTATTTTTAGATAAAAATTGATAGACATAATGATTTCGTATCATCTTTGAGAATTCGATGCCATATGACAATGATGTATGTAATCTATTTTGCTAATTCCGTTGTATTATTTCATTTTTTCATTTTCTTTTGGCTGCGTTTTTGCGACGACAAATATTTTGCCATTTCAGTGCAAATTCTTTTAAATTTTTTCTTCTTTTTCTTATCAGCTTTCTTTTAATAGCTTTCTTTTTAATGGTCAAATCGAGGATTTCAATAGCTCTAAAGTTTTTTGGGGAATAACAGAGAGCTAGTGTTTTAAGCTGTAATGTTTCAGTCTATAGGGGACGAACGATACACGAAGATGGCCTTTCATGCACATAATGTGGCTTCGTTTTTTTTTTTTTTTTTTAATTTCTTCAAGTTTTTCACACATAACTAAAACGTTTCTATGGATTAAGATTTTTTTTATATTATTAAGGAAACTCCCAAGTGATATATTCGAGGGACGTGAGTATGTGTAAAGCGAGGGTAGAAACAAAGAAAATTATTATAGAAACTCTTTAAGTAAACTGTAATCCTTTTTCGTCATGCTTTAGAAAATTTATAAAAAAATCTTAATTGTATTTTGTCTTCTTCTTCTTTTCAGCTTAGAAAAGCGAAAGGTAGGAAAAATTTTATTATTGCCGATTCAGGTAAGACTTAAAACAAGCTTAAGATGAAGCATGTTTAAAAGTCGTAAGGAAAACAATTTTATGAGAAACTCGGGGCAGGGAAACTAACAGCAAAGTTACGAAAACATTTAAGTAAAAAACTTTCAAGTGTTAAATTAGGTTACATAGCGCAACAACACCTCCACTCTTCACACTTAACAACGTACATATGTTCACATGGTTGCATTTATTCCGAGAGCTTGCTAAGCTTGCTGGCATGCATTTATTTGGTGAATTTCATAAACCACAAAAAAAGAAAAAAAAAAGAAGAAAAAGAAGAAGAAAATGAAAAGAACCGAAAAAGGATAAAACTTAATTTAACATAAATGTTTGCGTATAATCAACATTAAGTAAACGACAGAAAAAGATGATAATGACAATGATGATGATAATAATGATGATGATGATGATGACGAGGAATTATAATAAGAAAAAGAATTGTACGGCATGACTGCAGACAAACTTTATATTATCACTCGTGCTTAAAGTTATTGCGGTTGAAAGCCGAAACAGCACAGAACTAAATGAAAACTTTATTAAAATCTTAACGAAAAAATTTGATTCATAAAATTTTTGGATAAATTTTTGATAAAAGTCCGTACGTAAAATATTTTCCTTAATTACTAACGAAAATTGCCTTAAAAAACGCAAAAATTCAAAAGCATTTCTATGCTCCAATTACTGTATAATGACTTGGCGGAAAGTAAAGGAAAGAGAAAAATTGAAATCAAAATGAAGAAAATATTAAAAAAAAATCTTAAAAAACTCATCTAAAAGAACCTAATAATAGGGTAAAAGAGTTGGGTTCGTAAGTATAACAAAGGCTCAAACGAATGTTGGAAATTAAAAGTGATATTACGCTTCGCCTGCTCGTATCTAATCTGCGAAACATTCGCATATCCACAATTGAAGCTAAACTTTACGAGTTATGCATAAAATAAGCTAAAGGTACACAAAATCCATGCATTCATTCAGTCATTCGTATATTCGTTTTGAATGCGAGGTTCCTTAAGAAAATGTTAGATATTTAGTTGAAATTTTCAAGTCAAGCATTAAAACCCAGGCACCGCAAATCCATCACTACTATCCATATTGGATTCGTTAGGGTGCTTAAATGTAAATGTAAACAGACATCGCTCAAAAATCTAATAAATTGCATATATACTCACTCGACTGACTTGATTGTTCAAGAATTCAAAAAAAAATTTATCCTTAAATTTTTTCTTAATTACTACCGTTAAGTTAAGATCGAAAGCTTGACAATTAATAAGATATCATCTAAATATAGTATATACGAAGATCCCGTCCAATTGTAAAAACGAATACGGTCTTGGCGTTTATCTTGTGAAATCGTGCCAGAGGTTGGTAATGGCTTATGCGAAAAGAGCGCCACATACGACAATGATATGTGAAAGAATTGTGCTCCAAGAGTAACGAAATTGTAGATATTGAGGCAAAGTCCTGATTGATCTTACGTAAGGTAATGTTTTGCGTGTGCATAAGATGAACAGCTCCAACTAGCCCAGATGATTGATTACACTTGCTACTGTCAGGAACGAATGCGATCAGAAGGCGCAATTAAACTAAAGAACCAACAGTCGACCGGCAAGAAAGTCGTGTTCTTCCATTTTCACAATGCCAGACTATAGACAAGCACTCGGCAAGGACTCTTGAAAAAATTGTATGACTTTGGCTTTTAAGTATTATAGACTTCACTGTATGTCCCGGCCATTTCCGGTCGCAATTATTATCGATTACTGACTCGATGCAACTCTTTTAATGACATAAAGGTGACTTCAAGAAAAAATCACTTGCGAACCGCTTGATTCAGTTTTCGCTCAGCAATCCCATTTGCTCTGTAGAGATGGTAAAAACATTTCGCCGCAAAAATAGCAACATATTATCAAGCGAAATTCAAGCGGATTATATCCGGTTTAACAAGATTCTTTATAGTATAAGGAGGAAAAAAAATTTGATTCCCTCTTTCGCACAGTTAAACACAAAACCTATAGATGAGTATTTAAAAATTAGTTCCACAGCAAATGCGAATTTCTTGGAAATGGAATCAAATCAGGAGCTGGCGTCACACTAGGCTTCCTTAAATGTGTGATGGAATGATTTGATGCCCTGTGTTGTTTCTTCCTAAGATTTCTTCAAAATAAGTAATTTCGAATCGGCACATGAACTGGTCGTTCTGCGATTCTTAATGGAAGTTGCAATGAAAATCATATGCTTTGAAATGATTGGAGTGTTTTGGACTGGCCACCAGAAATGAATCCAAGATTCTTAAGGCAATGTATGCTGTTTTTCACGAAGTACGATTTAATTCCTAGAATATTTTTTTATGAGCCATTCATTGATAGAAATAAGTTTTTCCTTGAGCGGTCATCGAGCAAAGCTATTTTTCATCGCTAAATGCTCATGCAATCCGCTATATCTGCTTGCCATCATCTATTATCGGAAGAGTACTCGAATCTCACGGTATGCGTGTATGGTAGAAGAAAAAACATTGTTTTCGGATATATATTTTTAAATTCATTCGGCAGTGAACTGCAGTAAAAATTAAGGTCATTAAGCCAATGACGTATGACTCGGCATGCGAACTTGAGTGTTAAGTGTGTCAAAGTGTTAATTCAATTTATTCTAAATCTTGTTGCAAAGTTAATGATGCTTCAAACTTGTATGAAATTACCGCACGAAAGTATTCGAAAGTTAATTCAATTTAACGGTTGCAGCTGTTCGACTTCGCGGAACAAACGAACAAAAGAATGTTGGGCAAAGACTTTTGAATAGTCAAAGTATAATGTAAACATGTGAGGATGGAAAAGTCAGGGCATAGTACCCTGCTTTTGTGGGTGTTTGCAACACCTAAGAGGTCGCTTCTTCAATCACTTAATATCAGATTTTCAATCGGTCCAGGCATGTCTATCGGTCCATCGGTCCATCTGTGTAACGTGTAATCGGTAGCAAAACTTGGAGTATTGCCTTCAAATCTGCCATCAACCCTGGTTGGTATCAGAAATAGATTAAGCCGGTTTGGTAGCATCATTTTTTAGGTCCCCTCCCAGATAATCACTTTTACAAAATATAAGCGATA